ACAGTGACCGCCCTTGCCCATCGCGAGCTTGCCGCCCTTGCCGAAATACTTCTGCGTGGGAACATCATTCTCTTGCTTGGCTCCGAATGGTGATGGCGGTGCGCGCTCCCCGCTCGCAGCCGCCCCTGGGCAGGCTGCCCGGGGGGGGCGGCGTCGTCGGCGCGGGCCATCGCGGGATCGCGTCGAACAAAAAGGGGAAAAAAAGTGCCCGCCAATGCGCGACGCACTGGGTCGCTCGAAAGAGAGCTGCCCGCTCGCATGGGGCCCGGTCCCACTTGAACCAACATGGCCACGGAGGATGAGGACGAGGGGGGGGGGGGGGGGGGGGGGGACAGAAGGAGCAAGATGATATTTTCACAAGATGGCTCGACATGCTCAGGCACGAAAGGGCCATCCTGACCACGGCCAGCCACGGCCGCGACCGGGCTCCCGGGCCCTGGATCCGCGGGGCGGCCCGAGCAGCAAAGGGCCCCTCCCTAACCCAACGAGAGGTCGTTGCTTTAGCGCCCTGGCTGCTGTCCCCCACCTCCGCCACGGCTGCGATCCGCGCCCGCTCTTTGGGGGGGGGGCCGCGGCTCAGCGACGAGGCGGCCCGAATTGCAGAGGGCCCCTCCCTAGCCCGACGAAAGGTCATTGTTTCGGCGCCCTGGCTGCTGTCCTCCACCTCCGCCACGGCTGCGAGCCGCGCCCGCTCTTGGGGGGGGGGGGGGGGCGCGGCTCAGCGACGATGCGGCCCGAACAGCAGAGAGCCCCTCCTCAGCCCAAAGAGAGGTCGTTGCTTCGGCGCCCTGGCTGCTGTCCTCCACCTCCGCCGAAGCTGCGAGCCGCGCCCGCGTATTTTTTGGGGGCAGCGGCTCTGCGACGAGGCGGCCCGAAAAGCAGAGACCCTCCCTCAACCCAAGCGGAGGTCGTTGCTTCCGCGCCCTGGCTGCTGCCCTCCACCTCAGCCACGGCTGCGCGCTCGGGGGGGGGGGGGGGGGGGGGGGGGGGGGGGGGGGGGGGG